ATCTGATGATCAGGATTTCGTCTGCAACGCCGAGGTTCCCCTAGCTTACTAGGTGGGGAAACTGAGTTAGCAGGACTCAAGTCCAAGTTCAGGTATTCAGCATCAGTTTAATCTAGTTCTACATGGGTGCTGTGATCCAACCAGCTTCCACACACACTGGTGACCTGCTTGGCCTTTGCCACCACTGCTCCTCACAACTAGGTTTTCAGATGGAGAAACTGAGGCTCGCAGAGGTCACACAGTACTCCCAAGCAGAGAACCTGGGACTGGAGCTCCATCAGCAGCTTGTCTCTCACTCACTGCCCCCGGTCCATGCCAGGGACAGCTACAGAAGGTCACAGTCCACACAGCACCGTGCTCGGTCCAAGCCCTGGTTCTTGTCCAGCCTTTATTTGGGGACTACTAAGAGCCAGATCTGGTGGGCCTGGGCCACCTCCCTGGGTCCTCAGTCTAGGCAGGTGGTGCAGGCACTTAAGGCCCAGGAACATGGAAGCATTGGCCTAGAGATGCCCCAGGGCAGGTGGTGGCCCAGGACGGCAATGGGCAGCTTTGCCCTGTGGTATTTACCTGGCCCCACAGCCCTGAGGCTGCCAGCCTGCAAGGTGGCACTCAAACTGACCTGCCGATGAACCCAGGCTCCGAGGGCTATAAGTCACACTAAATTACATCTGCCCAAAGCTGCTCCTTAGCTGTAAAAATAAAATTAGACTGCCCCGGCTGTGGTGGCTCATGCCTGTAATCCCAGCTACTCAAGAGGCTGAGATCTAAGGTTCGCAGTTCAAAGCCAGCCCAGGCAGGAAAGTCTGTGAGACTTTTTTTTTTTTTTTTTTTTTTTACTGAGGCTTGAACTCAGGTCCTGGGCACTGTCCTTGAACTTGTTTTACTCAAGGCTAGCACTCTGCCACTTGAGCCTCAGCACTACTTCCAGCTTTTTCTGTTTATGTACTACTGAGGAACCCAGGGATTCATGCATGCTAGGCAAGCACTCTAAAACTAAGCCACATTCCTAGCCTTTTTTCTTTTTGTCTGGGGGGTGGGGGTGGGAGGTAAGGATAGGGGTGGAGGTGGGGAGGGGAGAGGGCTTGAATTCAGGGCCTGGCATTGTCCCTGAGCTCTTTCATTCAAGGCTAGCACTTGAACCACTTGAGCCACAGTGCCACTTGCAGTTTTCTGGTGGTTAATTTTAGATAAGAGTCTCACAAACTTACCTGCTTGGGCTCCCTTTGAACTGTGATCCTTGGATTTCAGCCCCCTGAATAACTGGGATTCTAGATTAGAGCCACCAGCACCTGGCTGTGAAACTCATCTCCAATTAATCAGCAAAAAGTAGAGCTGTGACTCAAGTGGTAGAATGCTAGCCTTGACAAAAAAGTTCAGGGACAGCATCCAGCCCCTTAGTTGAAACCCTAGGACACGCATGCACGCACGCACGCACATCCAGGCCCTGAGTTGAAGCCCTAGGACACACACACACACCAACCCAGGACAGCATCCAGGCCCTGAGTTGAAGCCCTAAGACATACACACACACACCCCCAAGCCAGGCAGCAACGGCTCACACCTGTAGTTCTAGCCACTTGAGATCAAGAGGGTGGACATTCAAGGCTAGCCTAGGCAGAAATGTCTATGACACTCTTATCTCCAGTTAACCAGGAAATGCTGGTCTGGAGATGTGGGTTCAAGTGGTAGAACGGGCTGAGAATGTGGCTTAGTGGTAGAATGCTTGCCCAGCATGTATGAAGCCCTTGGTTTGATTCCTCAGTATCACATTAAAAAAAAAAAATTGGTAGCAAGACCCTGAGTTCAGACCCTGGTGCCAAGCCCAACATGCTGGTGTCTGGGAAGGGGCCCCGGGAAAGACAGAAGCCAGGACAGAAGGAAAGGTAGGAGTCAGGCACTTCACAGACCCTGCCCTGCCACCTCTGCCCTCCTCCAGCACTCCACGGCCACTGGAAAAACTGGTGTTACACGTGGGGTCCTTGCCAAGGCCTACACCTCCAGCTGCTTCCAGAGATCCACCCTGCCGCCCACCCCACAGCCTGGAAGCCCTGGTGCTCAGCCCACCGAAGGCACTGGGCAGTCACAGGAGCCCTGTGACCCAAGCTGGGCAGGCGTCTTACCCTGAGCCTCCAGATCCCAAACAGGCAAAGGAGGAAGAGGAGCCTCATAGAGGCAAGGCTGCAGGACATCACCCCCCACCCCGCCCCACTTCACCCCGGTGTGTGAGTGACTGGGCCCAGGGCCGAATGCTGAGCCCCTCACCCAGGGCCACAAATCCATCCTGACCTCTGCCACTGTAAGGCACGAGCCGAGGCCCCTGGGGCTAGGCAGGGAAGGAATGGCAGTCCCCAGAATCTGGGCCTGGGGATGGCAGAGGGTGTGGTGGGGGCGTGGTTTGGTGGGGCTGAATGGGAGGAGCTCCTGGCTGAGCCTGGGCAGGGCCAGCCCAAAGCAGCAAGTGTCTGAGGGACCCAGGCTATTCCAAGGCTGGTGAGGGCTGGGGACACACCGTGGTGGCCCTCCTTTGGCCCCTCTCCCAGGCCCAAAGGCTCTGGACGTGTCCTGTCTGGAAAACCAAGCTGCTCACCCGCCCAGTGAATCCTGCCAGTGGCCTGGAGCCCCCAGCGAGGTGAGCTAGGGTATGAGCATGTCTGGGGGGCTTTACATGGGACCCATGTCCATGCTGGGACCCTGCAACTCCAGCAGGGGGAGTGGAATCCTGGATTTAAATTTTTTTTAATCTGGGCATCCAACTCCTCGGCGCCCCCAGCTCTCTCTGGGGTGGGGGGCTTAGGAAGCCACTGGGTCCCACCGAAGGGCCCACGCTCTGGCCAGGTGACACCCATGTCTTGTAGAAAGTCCCAGGCCCACACCCAAGGCTGGCAGCATGCTGTGGGGCAGAGGCGGGCAGAGGCAGGCCTTGGCAGGTTCTCCGTGGAGTTGGAGGGAGGGCCCGCCGACTAGACTGGAGAGCCCAGCGGTCCCGTGTCACCACGCTGGCCTGCCCTTGGTCTGGGGCCACTGGGTACAAACAGAGCCATCAGTACAAGGGCCAGAAGCCAAGAGAGACCACCCAGACTTCCCTGGTCTGCCGGACACCAGACACCTGGGCTCTGAGTCACAGGGGTCCCTGCTGGCACCTGTACCCCAGAATCCTTCAGACACCAGGAAGACAGCAGGTGACAGCCAACCTTGTCTCTGTCCTGATCTGCCCAGCCACACATGGAGGCTTAGATTGCCTGGGGAAACTGAGGCATGGGTTGGTGTAGAGGATGCCCAAGTCCCAGGGTCCTTCCCCCCCCAAAAAAAATAAGCCAGCATCTGTCCTGTCTTCAGAGAGCTACAACCTGTCCCTGGTGGGGAGCGGGTCTTGGCTACCAGGAGGCTATGCTACCTGTGGCTGTCCATGGCGGTGGCCTCACCTCCAGTATGAGCAGGCTGCTAAGGACAGGAGCCCCAGGTCTGGAGCTGGAAGGAGACCCAGAGGGAGAGTGTCAGTGGTTCCAGGCCCCCCAGGACAGAGGACAGCCCGGCTAGACTCCTCACCCTGGGCATTCATCATCTGCATGAACTGGTAGCTCACACCTGTAATCCTAGCTAGTCAGATTATTATTCAGGATCTGAGGATCTTAGTTCCAAGCTGGTCTGAGCAGGAAAGTCCATGAGACTCTTATCTCCACTTAAACACCAAAGAGCCAGAAGTGGAGCTCAAGGACAGTACCCAAGTCCTGAGTTCAAGACACACACACACACACACACACACAGTGTTCTGAAGGGGGCAGGGCAGCCTACACGTCCTCTCCCCACTGCCCCACCCTTGTGCCTGTGCCTCTGGCCTGACTCCTTGGCCTTGACCAGCAGGGCGCCCTTGTCATTTCCCATCCTGCCAAACCCAGGGCATGGGTGATAGCTAGGTCAGGGCTATGGCATTGGCTGAAACATAAACCTTATCATCAGTGCCGCTGCCTACGGTGCTGATCCCTGTCTGGAGGACAGGAAGCCAGCCAGTGGGCCTGCTCACCAGCCAGAATGTCAGGGTGCCCGGCACGTGCTGCCCAGTCCCTGTGGCGGGCCCAGACAGGACTTGCATCTTGGCTGAGGGCAGGCCGCTTGGGCTGGAGGGCCTCTTGGGGCCGAGGGGCACTGCAGAGGAGGGGTGAGGGCGCCAGCTGGGGGAGGTTCTGTCACAGCTTGTCCATTGCCAGCAGCAGACCTGCCCATGAGGGGAAATGCAGGTGTCCCTCTGGGGCTTGCTGGGCCAGCCGGCCGGGACTCTAGTCTCCTGGCCACAGTAAACAGTGGTCAGAGGCCCCGCTGTGGGGAGGGATCTGGGCAGGCAGGTCTGTCCTGTGGGCCCGATCAAGGTCCCTGCCAGGGAAATCAGGTCCAGCCTGCCCAGTAGGCTCTCCTGAGTGGGTGTGGACTGTGGCACCTGCCTCTGGGCGAGGCCACAGAACAGGTGGGGAGAGCCAGCCTCCTTCCTGCCTCCTTGGGGACGCTCTTGAACCCTCCCTTATCTCCCCTGGGGGCTAGAATGGGGATTCTGTGCAGGGGTGCCAGGAGATGTGAGAGTCAGACATGACCCCTCCCCTCCAGACCCCGTCTACTGCTGCACCCATGGTAGGGCAGAGAGGCTAAGCCCCGGCTGGGAGGGGTCCTTGCCAAGCACACACCACAAGCCCTGGGGTTCCGTTCCTAGTACTACAAAAACAAAGTGCTTTAAACCAACAACCAACCTGTCTCTCTGCCAAGGCAGGCAGCTACGTGGCCATCTGGTGCCCACAGGTGGGAGCAATTGGGAGCCAGCTGCCTGTCCACAGACAGCCTGGGAGGGATAGAGTGTCCCCAGGGAGGGGCCAGCCTGGCTCCTCCCCCTCCCTCCCTTCCTTCCGCCCTCCGCCCCTCTGGAGCTCAGGTGGCCCCTGGCCAGGTGAGGCCTTGGCCGCCAGGCCCCGTACAGCCCTCCAGATAACAGCTTCGCTCCACCCCCACACCGGCTGCCAGTGGGGGCCACGTGGCCACGGGAATGACCAGCCAGGCCTTCCCAGAGGCCGGGCCTCCCCAGGCTGAAGCTAGGAGCTTCCTGCCCACGGAGGTAGGCACTGGGCCCTCTGGCTGCCAGCTAGAGCCTCGTAAGGACAGACAAGACATGGGGGAGAGGAAGGGACGGGCGGGTGTCAGGGTCAGGGACACAGGGACAAGGTGATGTTGGGCTGGCACGGTGGGTGGGCTGAGCCCCTCCTGTTTGCTAGAGGCTTCTCTCCAGACCCCTGGCTAGGCAGGACGGACAGGAGGCCCCCAGCCCTGGCCCAGGGCTATTCTTTGGAAGTTTGGTTTCTTTGGGGCTGGGGCTGGGGGTTGGGTCAAGGGAAGGATGGTGGAGAGGGGTCCCCAGGACCCAAGGTCCTGAGGTCTGAGTTCAGGAAGCTGAGCCCCTTTGGGCAGAAAGGGACCCAAGGGGCCCTGTGCTTTGACTTTGACTGGGGTCAGCGTAGTGTTTGTGTTTGGGAGATAGTCACACCCCAGTTTCCCCAGCAGCACAAATGCCCATGCGGGAGGGGGGAAGGGGAGGGGGCGGGGCTGCCAGAGAAGGTGGTCAGGCAGAGACCTGGCCCCCACATAGGGGCGGAGGCTTAGCACAGGGCACGGTCTGGCAGAGCCCTCTTCCAGGGCCCCTACGCGGCTCAGCCCCCACGCACTCTCCTTCCTAGGGCCCAGCCCTGCACAGCCCTGCCCTGCTCCTTGACCCTTCACCCCTCCCAGTTCTGCCCTCCCGCGCTTCTCCAGATGAGTAATGCCTCTGGGCTCCTGGAGTCAGCCGGAGTACCCCTGGCATCCTCCACCTGGCCACAGCCCAGCGTCCCCCCAGCCATGCCTACAGTGCCAGCCGGGCCACAGATGGCCCGCGTGGAGAACGCGTCCCAGGGAGCCCCACGGCTCTTCCTCACCACCGCGCTGGCCAGAGGCGTCTCAGGAGTCTTCGTATGGACAGCCCTGGTGCTCACCTGCCACCAGGTAAGCCCCTGACCTGAGCCTCTGGAGGCCCGATGTCCAAGGGACACTGGCCCGGCTGGAGCAGAGGAGAGGTACCCAGGGCCTCGGCAGTGGTATCAGCCTGGGGTTCAGGAAACAGGAGGGGGCCGGGCTTCAGGACAGGCCCATGGGAGCCAGGCCTGCAGGGGGCAGGTGCCAGCTGAGCACTACCTGAGGTCAGCAATGGGGATCTATTTCACAGACAGGATCACTGAGGCCCAGAGAGACCCCCGACCCCAAGTTCTTTCTTAGGCTCATGTAGAAGGGCCTTCTCCCTCATGGGTGCAGCCTCCCAGAGAAAAGCTGGCAAGGACCCAGACTTTGCTCTATGGGGAACGTCAAGCTGGAAACAGAAAGGAATTAGAGGGGATGGGGGTGGGTGGGCTGGAGGGCAGGGAGCTGGGAAGCAGGGCTAGCTTGTGGGCACAGTGCCCCCAAGGGGGCTGCCCTCCCTCATCTCCTCACATGGGACAGAAGCCACATCCTGAGTGCCCCCCACAGACTGAGCATGCATCAGCTGGGGGGCTGCGGGTCAAGAAGGGCCAATGTGTGGGGGGGGATAGCCTGCCTGAGCTCCAAAGCTGGGTGTGGAGGCTGGGGGCAGGTTTAGGGCCCTGAGCTTTTGCCGGGATACACAGGGGCGGGGCAGGTGTCCCCAGGAGGCTGAGGTAGGCATGGCACTTGCACTTGGGGCTGGCAGCAGGGTAGGGGGTGCTGGGAGGGTGGGAGGGGGAGGGCTGGTGTTTCCTCTGGGATGGCCCTGGGTGCCAAAGCCGATGTAGATAGACAGATGGGCCCAGGGCAGGCGCCACCTGGGGACAGGCAGCCCAGTATTCGGGACAGGCAGCGAGAGCAGTCAGTCCCCCTGTGAGCCGTGCATGTCCAGACAGGACCTCAACGCTCAGGGTGCAAGGGGGACCCAGGCAGCCCCCGTCCTGGGCCCATAGAGCAGGGGTAGAGCTGCAGACAGAGGTAGCATGAGGCCAGCCTTCCTCCCCAAGCAGTGGGGGGGGGCTGGCATTGTGGGGGTCCCAGGACCTCCTGTCCTCAAGCTAAGCCCCCACCTAGTGTGAGGAGACACCACACCAGCCACTCTTTTAAGAGCCTGGCCTGTGAGAGATGGGGATTTGACACCTTGCTTTACTATTGAGAAAATGGAGGCTAGAGAGGGCAGTAGCTTCGCAAGGTCACACACCAGGTGGTGCCAGCCCTAGAGAGGTCTCCCCTGGCACCAGCAGGAGGGGGTGTGCCTGATAAAAACCTGGGCACTGATGCCAGCGGGCCTCTCCTCACCCACATACCACCCCTGTGCTCAGAGCCTGCCTTCCACCGCCTCCTCCAGAGCACACCTCCTCCTCCAGGAAGCCCTCCACACCTGTGCCCTGGACCCAGGACCATGTTCCCTGCTCTCTCCTGCCCCTGCTCCTGTTCTGCTATGACCTTGTAGAAAATGTGGAAAATCTGGGAAGGTTTAAAGCTTATGATCACAATCATGGTTACCATGCATTTGTAGTGCACTGGGGACCCTGCTTAGTTTCTCATCCTGGTTTGTTGCTGTTGATTGTAGGGATTTGAACTCAGGGGCTGGGTGCTGTCCCTTAGCTCTTTCTTTTTTTTTGGGGGGGGTCAGTCCTGGGGCCTGCACTCTGGGCCTGGGCGCTGTCCCTCAGCTCTTCAGCTCAAGGCGAGTGCTCTACTACTTGAGCCACAGCGCCACTTCTGGTTTTCTGGTGGTTTATTGGAGATAAGAGTCTCACAGACTTTCCTGCCCAGGCTGGCTTTGAACTGCATTCCTCAGATCTCAGCCTCTGGAATAGCTAGGATTACAGATGTGAGCCACCAGCGCCTGGCGAAGATTGTTTTTCTTTTTTTGGTTGTGGGGTCTGAACTGTGGCCCTGGGCGCTGTCCCTCAGCTCTTCCGTTCAAGGCTAGTGCTCTACCACTTGAGCCACAGTGCCACTTCTGGCTTTTTCTGCTTATGTGGTGCTAAGGAATCGAACCCAGGGCTTCATGCATGCAAGGCAAGCACTCTACCACTGAGCCACCTTCCCAGTCCCTGGCAAAGGTTATTTTTTTTAAATTCTGATTATATAGTTTCTAGGAGGGAGTACAAGTCTAAAACCCTTCTCTGTTGAGAGCCAGCCTTCTCTGCGTGGCTCTGCCTGTGTGGGGGCTGGGCCGTGCCCCTGCCTTGGCCCCAGTGTGACACTTAGCAGGACTCAGGAGTCTGGTGGAATGAATGACTGAGTGTATTCGCTGCTGGAGTGTTGGCCAAGAGCACTGTCTCATGAGTTACAATGTGTTACATGCCTGAAAGTTACAGAAAGAATAGATCTGAGACAGGGCCCTGGTGGCTCATGCCTAATCTCAGCTACTCAAGGCAGAGAGCAGGAAGGTCATGTTTGGTGGCCAAACCTGGAAAAAAGTTATAGAGACCCCATCTCATTCAGTAGCTGGGCACTATGGGCTGTGTACCTGTCATCTCAGTGATGGTGGAAAATGGAACTTGGAAGATTGTTGGCCAGCCCAGCCCAGTGCAAAAACCTTAAGATCCAAAATTTTTAAATGGCCAGATAAAAAGGACTAGAGGCTGAGTACTGGTGGCCCATGCCTGTCATCCTAGCTACTCTGAAGGCTGAGATCTGAGGATTGCATTCAAAGCCAGCCCAGACTAGAAAGTCCTTGAGACTCTTATCTCTAATTAACCACCAGAAAACCAGAAGTGGAATTGTGGTTCAAAGTGGAAGAGAGCAGCCTTGAGCAAAAGAAGCTCAGGCATAGTGCCCAGGCCTTGAGCTCAAGCCTCAAGACTGGGACAAAAATAAATAAATAAGTAAATAAATAAATAATAGAGGCATGTCTCAAGTGGTAGAGCCGCTTGCCTGTCTAGCAACTTGAAGCTCTGGTTCAAATTCTAAATACTCCCCCCCACCAAAAAAAAGGTACATTTTAGAGCTGGACACCTGTAGCTCACGCCTTTAATTCTAGCTACTCAGGAGGCTGAAGTCTGAGTGTCAAGATTCAAAGCCAGTCAGAAGAGACAGCAAAAAGCTGGAAGTGGGGCTGGGAATGTGGTTAAAGTGCTTGCCTAGCATGCATGAAGCCCTGAGTTCAGAAACAGAAACAGCCAGAAGTGGTGCTATAGCTCAAGTGGTAGAGTGCTAGCCTTGAGTGAAAAGGTGAAGTTAGAGTGCAAGGTCCTGAGTTCAAGTCCTAATACTGGCAAACACCACACATACACACACACACATTTTAAGCCAGGTATGGTGGTTCAGATCTTTTAAACCCAGCACTCAAGAGATTGAGGCAGGGCTGGGAAGGTGGCTCAGTGGTAGAGCGCTTGCCTTGCATGCATGAGGCCCTGGGTTCGATTCCTCAGCACCACATAAGCAAAAAGAAAAAAGCCGGAAGTGGTGCTGTGGCTCAAGTGGTAGAGTGCTAGCCTTGAGCTGAAGAGCTGAGGGACGTCACCCAGGCCCAGAGTTCAAGACCCACAACTGACAAAAAAAACCCAAACTTATCACAAAAGCTGGTGAGCATGTTTGCTATTAATTGACTTGATTTAACTCTCTGCATATGTCTGCAAACCCTTGGGTTGAACATTGATGCCATATAACATTATTGGTTAATTAGGAGTAAATTTTTCTTTTTGGTTGTTGTTGTTGATCCTTGGTCATGGGGCTTGAACTCGGGGCCTTGGCACTGATCCTGAGCGTTTTCCCTTAAGGCTAATGCTGTACCACTTTGAGCCACAGCACCACTTCCAGTTTTTTCTTATGATTAATTGGAGATAAGAGTTTTACAGACTTGCCTGCCCAGTCTGGCTTTGAACCTCAATGCTCAGATCTCAGCTTCCTGAGTAGCTAAGATTACAGGCATGAGCCATCAGCAAACACCCTACTAGAGTAAGTTTTTAAGCTGGGTGCAGTAACACATGCTTATAATTCTAGCATTCAGAAGGCTGAGGCAGGAGGATGAAGGATGGCGATTTCAAGGCCAGCCTGAGCTTCATAGTGAGATCCTGTCTCAACTCAGGGCCTGGGCACTGTCCTTGAGTCTCTTTGTGGTGTTCAAGGCTAGCACTCTACCACTTGAACCATAGTACCACTTCCAGTATTTGAGTGATTAATTGGAGATAAGAATCTCATGGGGACTTTTCTGCCCAGGTTGGCTTTGAACTGCAATTCTCAGATCTCAGCCTCCTGAGTAGCTTGGATTACAGGTATGAACCACCAGTGCCTGGCTAAAAAAAAATTTTTTTGTCAGTCATGGGGTTTGAACTCTGGGAGTGGGCACTGTCCCTCAGCTCTTCAGCTCAAGGTGAGCACTCTACCACTTGAGCCACAGCACCACTTCTAGTTTCTGGTGGTTTATTGGAGTTAAGAGTCTCACGGAGGGGCTGGGAAGGTGGCTCAGTGGTAGAGCGCTTGCCTCACATGCGTGAGGCCCTGGGTTCAATTCCTCAGCACCACATAAGCACAAAAAGAAAAAAGCCGGAAGTGGGGCTGAGGCTCAAGTGGTAGAGTGCTAGCCTTGAGCTGAAGAGCTGAGGGACAGCGCCTAGGCCCAGAGTTCAGGCCCCACGATTGGACCCCCCCCCAAAAAAAAAAAGTCTCATGGACTTTCCTGCCAGGGCTGGCTTTGAACCATGATCCTCAGATCTCAGCCTCCTGAGTAGCTAGGATTACAGGTGTGAACCACTAACACCTGGCTTAAAATAATTTTTTAAGAGGCTAGGGATGTAGGTCAGTGATAGAGCTCTGTGTGTGTGTGTGTGTGTGTGTGTGTGTGTGTGTGTGTGTAATCTGTGCTAGTAAGGCTAAAACTAGGGTTCTATGCTTGCTAGGCAAGACTCTATCACTGAGCCACTCCTCCACCCATGGGGTTTTTTTTGGTTGTTGTTGATCGTGGGGCTTACCCATTGTTTTGTTGATGGTGGTCATGAGATTTGAACTCAGGGCCTGGGCACTGTCCCTGAGCTTTTTGTTGTTGTTGTTCAAGGCTCGTGCTCTTCTGCTTGGAGTCACAGCGCCACTTCTGGTTTTCTGGTGGTTCATTGGTGATAAGAGTCTCACGGACTTTCCTGCCTGGGCTGGCTTTGAACCGCGATCCCCAGATCTCAGCCTCCTGAGTAGCTAGGATGACAGGCGTGAGCCACCAACTCCCACCTTCAGCAAAAAATGTGGTTATTTTTTGAGATAGGGTCTTGATTTTTGCCTAGTCAGCCTGGGCTACAGTCTTCCTGTTTAACACTTTCCACGATAGCTGGTGTGACAGACATGTATCAACACAGCCGATGGTTGGGATAGGGGAGTCTCACTAACTTTTTGCCCAGACTGGGCCTCAAATCACAATCCACTCAATTGCCATCTCTGGAGTAGGTAGGAATACGTGTGTAAACTACAGCGCCTGGCTACAAATATGCTTGTATGTATTAAGTATATATGTAATTATATATATATATATAATATTATATATATATATATTATATGATTGCAATAGAAAAATATTTATTTTTGTCATTGTAATGAGTGTGTTCACTGCAGAAAACTAAGAGATAGCTGGGCATGGTGTCACACACCTGTAATTCCAGCCTTCAAGAAACTGAGGCAGGATGATAGAGAATTTACAGCCAGTTGGGGCTGTATTTTTAGACTCTGTCAAGGGAGGGAGGGAGACAGGAAGGAAGGAAGGAATAGAGGGAGGGAGAGAGGAAGGAGAGAATTAGGGAATATAGGAGAATGTGAGGCCTTGACAGCCAGAGGCTGGAAGTGCCACCCACTGCCACTTTCTTCCTGGGCTGGCACAGGGTGGCAGGGGTGGCAGGGGCCAGTAGCTCTACCCAAACCCTCTGTGCTGGTCGCCTAGATCTACCTGCACCTGCGCTCCTACACAGTGCCTCACGAACAGCGCTACATCATTCGCCTGCTGCTCATCGTGCCCATCTATGCCTTCGACTCCTGGCTCAGCCTCCTCCTCCTGGGAGACCACCAGTACTACGTCTACTTTGACTCTGTGCGGGACTGCTATGAAGGTGCTGCTTCATGTCTGGGTTGGCCTGGGGGGAGCAGGGGGGAACAGGAGGCTGTCCGCATAGGCCTGCTCCCCTGGCCAACCCCAGGGCACCTGGCCCTGCCAGCCCTGCTGGGGTGGGGAGGCTGCCCAGAGGGATCAGTGTGAGTTAGGAGACTGGGGGGAGGGGGGGCTCTGAGCTATAGCTGTGACCTGGCCCCCCCCTGAACCTCAGCTTGTACTCCCTTAACATGGGCACCCCGGGTGTTGGGTAGGTCTGACAGAGTTGGCATGCGGGCCTCGGGCTCATGCCAGCCCCTCCGTCGCCCGGCAGCCTTTGTGATTTACAGCTTCCTCAGCCTGTGCTTCCAGTACCTAGGGGGAGAGAGCGCCATCATGGCGGAGATCCGTGGCAAGTCCATCAAGTAAGCCCCGCCCTGCCCCACCCCCCTCCCCGCAGCCCCCCCAATCCCTCAGCCACTCTCTCCCCCAGGTCCAGCTGCTTCTATGGAACCTGCTGCCTGCGGGGCATGTCCTACTCCATTGGCTTCCTGCGCTTCTGCAAGCAGGTAAGGGGCTGTGTGCCCTCCCCCCCACCTCGGCCAGGCTGGTGCCAGCCCTGCCCACTGTCCCCCACTATCCCCAGGCCACGCTGCAGTTCTGTATCGTGAAACCTATCATGGCTGTGACCACCATCATCCTCCAGGCGTTTGACAAATACCACGATGGGGACTTCAAGTAAGGAAGGGGGGGAGCAGGGAGGGTGCAGGCCATCAGAAGCGGGGTTCCGCGTGGCCTCTTCCTCCTGGGGACAGAAGAGGTCGTGGGTGGCTTCCTGACAGAGGAGGCCGGGCAGTGCTGGTGAGGGAGGGCCTGGAAGACACCCCCACCCCCACCCCCACCCCACCAATGCCTGCTTCCTCAGTGCTGTCCCAGGCCCTGGGCAGAGGACTGTCCCACCCAGAGGGGACAAAGCAGGCTGGTGACATCTATGGGGGTCATGGGCCACTCTGACCAGCAGTTCCTCTGGCCCAGTGTCCACAGCGGCTACCTGTACGTGACCCTTGTCTACAACACTTCCGTCAGTCTGGCCCTCTACGCCCTGTTCCTCTTCTACTTCGCCACCAGGGAGCTCCTGCGGCCCTTTGAGCCAGTCCTCAAGTTTCTCACCATCAAAGCGGTCATCTTCCTCTCCTTCTGGCAGGGTGTGTGGTCCCCTTGGGGATGGGGACTGTCAATAGGTAGAGGGAAGATGCTTGGGGGGGGGGGAGGTCAGCACACAGCAGCTTCTGGAGCCCTGGTCTCTGCCAGGCTTAGAGCTGGGAATGGAAGGGTAGACTTCGATGGCTGCCTGGCCTTTGCTCCTGCCAGCCTCAGGCCTGGGAGGAAACGCTAGCCAAGGTAAGAGCTATGGCCTTTGCCTGAGTGACCTTGCCCATTTCCAGGGCTGCTGCTGGCCATCCTGGAGAGGTGTGGGGTCATCCCTGAGGTCCAGGCTATTGATGGCACCAGGGTGGGGGCAGGCACGCTGGCCGCGGGCTACCAAAACTTCCTCATCTGCATCGAGATGGTCTTCGCCTCCATTGCCCTGCGCTATGCCTTCACCTGCCAGGTGTACTCTGAGAAGAAAGAGCATTCACCAGGTAAGCCAGGCTTGCCAGCCAGAGTACCTGAATGCACCCCAGGGGTGGACATCTAAGCCAGGGGCAGGCAGGGGTATCGGAGCTCTGAGGGGCAGGGCTGGCAGCCCTAGAAAGTGGGTGGTGTGGGTGTAGTCGCCCAGATTACTTGTCTCTTCCCCCCTCCCAACCCCACCCCCAAATCCCAGAGCCAGACATGTATCTCCCAGGGGAAGAGCCAGGTGCTGGTGGCTCACATCTGTAATCCTAGCTACCTAGGAGGCTAAGATCTAAGGATCAGGGTTCAGAGTCAGCCTGGGCAGAAAACCACATGAGATTCTCATCTCTAATTAACCAGAAAAAATAAATTAAAAAATAAAAAAAAATTAAAAGTGAGAGAGACAGAGACAGAGACATAGAGACACAGAGACACAGAGACTGAGAAAAAGAGAGAGCGTGCAATCAGTTGGAGGCCCCTGGTGAGTGTCTGAAGGCCAGGGTTATGTTTGAGGGACCAACCCCGCTAGCCAGGATCAGGGTGAATGGACATCCAAGGACCCCCAGCCCTGCCTGAGGTGGAGTTGAGAGACAGAGTTGAGGGCTAAGTCCCCGGATAGAGTCTCCTAGGGGCTGGCTGGGGTCCATGGAGCCCCCACCCACCGCTGTTCCGCCCTCAGGCCCCCCAGCTCCCATGCAGAGCATCTCCAGCGGCCTCAAGGAGACCATCAGCCCTCAGGACATCGTGCAGGATGCCATCCACAACTTCTCCCCAGCCTACCAGCAGTACACGCAGCAGGCCACGCACGAGGCCCCGGGTCCCGGCCACCCCATACCTGGCACCCTCCCTGGTCTGGCCAGTAGCTCTGGAGGGGGCAGGAAGAGCCGAAATGTGGAGAAACGCATGCTGATCCCCTCGGATGACCTGTAGCGGGCCTCAGGGTCTGCATGACTGGCTGGGGGCACAGTCTGCCCGGTCCTCTGGGGAAAGACAGGGTCCCCCACCCTCAACTCTCTTATCAAAGGTCCAGCCTACAAGGCCATGGAGACCTTTTCATACTGTGTCCAGTCAGGGGTCAGGGTGCCTATGGGCCATAGCATGGGCATGTTAGATAGGCCTGAGGACCCACTGGGTACCTGGCCACAGACCTCAGGGGGTCACTGAAAGGCTGGACATGAACGTGGCCAGGAGGTCACACATGATATAATAGAGGATGGCCAAGTCTCAGGTCAGGGGCTGCAGGGAGAACTGGGTACCCAGCCTGACAGAGGGACCCAGTGCTGTGGACAGGAGGTGTGCCAAGCCTGGGTGAGGGCCCTGGGTGCATAGAGAAGCCCCTCCCCCCACTCCAGCCACAGGAGCCTGGTGAGGTCCTGACCTGCATCCATCTGCACAGACCCGCTGTGGGCTGGCCTTCCAAGCACAGTCACCTCCCTGTGAGCTCTCCTTATTTATAAACACCTTGAATTTTTTATTTTCTTATTTATTTATTTGGCCAGTTGTGGGGTTTGAACTCAGGGCTTGGGTGCTGTCCCTCAGCTCTTCTGCTCAAGGCTATTGCTCTCCCACTTGAGCCACAGCGCCACTTCTGGTGGTTAATTGGAGATGAGTCTCATGAACTTCACTGCCCCGGCTTAAACTGCAGCCCTCAGATCTCAGCCTCCTGAATAGCTAGGATGACAGGTGTGAGCCACTGGCGCCCAGCTACACATTGAACCACTCTTCCTGCAGGGCCAGGATAGGGGGGAGGGGAGGCGGTAAGGCATAATATGTCAGGTAGGGTCCCAGGACCTGGGGCAGCCAGGACCTGGGCGGCCTGGGGCAGCCACCTGTGGTGTGGCTGCAGTCAGGCCATGTAAGACAAACTAGAATTCATCATCAAATGCCATTGGATGCCATCTGTTGTCCAGAGGCTCCAGGGAGGCCGAAGCAGCCGCCTCTCTCTGGACTGTATCAGCCTTGTCCTACAGCGGGCAGGTGGGGCAGTCTAGAATGGCTAGGTACAAGGGTCTCAGTTCTGGGAGACTGCTTTGCCTTTTTCCTGCTCCTGCTCCTCCTCCTTATTCCCCTCTTTCTCCTCTGTGCCAAGTGACAGTTGGCAGACTAGAGGATCACCTTAGAAACTAGTGCCCTTTGGGAACCTTCTAGAGGGGACCTAGCACTGGACACTGTCTCCCGGGCAGAGGGGGCATGCAGGGCAGGAGTCTGGGTGCCACACCACAGGCTGCAAGGAACCTGCTGCCTGGTTGGGCACAGCAGACAGGAAGGGCCAGCAGGCAACAATCAGCCAGGGACACTCAGCTGGGTGGCAACTGTCCAGTCGCATGAGCCACACCGCGGGGCGGCTCCCCTGCTTTCTCTGTGTGGGGAGGATGGGGACAGGAAAGCAAGGCCAGTGGCTTCTTGGGGCCCAGCTGTGCAGCTTGATAAGCCTGGCCTGGCTCCCCTGTGCCTTCCCTGCCCCTCCTTATCATTGCCCTCTGCGCTGGCAGGCCCCACCCACTGGTCAACAGGCCAGGGAGGGAGACTCATTCCTGCTCCCTGAGGCCAAGGAGGCTCTGTGGATGGGCCCTGTCCCCACCATGGAGAGGCTACTGTGGAGAGAGCTGAGGTCCCCAGAGCATGCAGAGTGGGCAGCTGGCCATGACTCCTCTCCTGGGGTCCCAGATGGCTATGTGGGCACCAGGGTCACTTACTGGTCAGCACTGGATCCAAGGGGGAGGGAACTGGATTCCCACATGTGCCAGGAGCGCTGTACATGACAGCCTTGGTTGAGTGAGCCCAGAGAGGTCTGGCAAGTTGCCTGAGGGCACACAGCAGAGCTGCTGGGCCCAGGCCACAGCCCCACCCCAGGAGATCAAAGGAGGCTGCCCAGCAGACAGGGGTCAGCTTGTCCTGGCCTCATTTGTTACCACCTCTGAAGTTGCCCAGGAGGTCTGTGGCCTCCATACACAGCCACACAGCCTCCACTCTGGGCCAGGATTCTCTTGGTATTTTTGTGCCAATAGTAGGGCCTGAACTTAGGGCCTGGACATTGTCTCTTCACTTTTTCACCTAAGGCTAGTGCTGTATCACTTGAGTCACAGCTCTGCTGTGGTTGTTAATGCAGCTGAGTCTCATGGACTTTTCTGCTTGAGCTGGCTTCAAGCCATTCCTGGGGCTTGCACTCAGGACCTGGGCACTGTCCCTGAGCTGCTTTTGCTCAACGCTAGCACTCTACCACTTGAGCCACAGCGCCATTTCCGGCTTTTTCTGTTTATGAGGTACTGAGGAATCGAACCCAGGACTTCATGCATGCTAGGCAAGCACTCTACCACTGAGCCACATTCCCAGCCCCTGGCTTCAGATTGTGATCCTCAGATCTCAGCCTCCTGAGTAGCTAGGATTATAGGCCTGAGTCACCAATGCCTAACTTGGGCCAGAAATCTTGTGTGTCCAAGCTCATGACCACCTACTCTGAGTTGCCCATCTCCCCAGAGGTACCACTGGGGTCAGCTGCAGAGAGGACTGGATTAACTGGGCTCTCCAGCACTGCCATTCCTGCTGACACAAGCTTTTGTGATGGTCCTTGCAGGTCTGACCCACTGTAGCAGGGCCATGGTATCCTTCCAGTCAGCATAGGCTGGAAGGAGACAAGATGGCTGGCAGGTTTAGAACACTCAAGGCAGCTCTAAATTTTTATTTTTATTTTTTGTCAGTCACGGGGCTTGAACTCTGGGCCTGGGCACTGTCGCTGCACTCTTCAGCTCAAGGTAAATGCTTTACCACTTGAGCCACAGCGTCTCTTCTGGTTTTCTGGTGGTTAATTGGAGATAGAGTCCACAGACTTTCCTGCCTGGGCTGGATTTGAACTGTGATCCTCAGATTTCAGACTCCTGAGTAGCCAGGATTACAGGAGTGAGCCACCAGCACTTGGCATAGAGCTCTACGATCTTGACCCTCCCTTCTTCACCCAGCTGAGGTTGGCCAGACAGGCTCACCACAGAAGGCCAGGCTCAGCCTGCAGCCAGGCTGGCCGAAGGTCTGGTTAGATCCTTTGCTTACTGGAGTGGTCTCAGCCAGTGATCCAAGGGCTTTGTCCTCTGCCCCTCTCCATATCCAGCAGGCTCATCTCAGCCCACCCACTAAGCTGTGCGAGGGGGCTGCTGGGACAGCACCCACTGCCTGCACAGCCCGAGGCTCCACCAGGACAGGCTGTGCTCTGAGGTCACCCTGCAGTTGTTGTGCATTTCCAGGGGTAGCTACGCCTGGGATCTTCTTTTGCATAAGCCTGTACTCAAGGCCTGACCTCAGGGCCTCACACTCAGCTTATTCTGCTCAAGGCTAGCACTCTACCACTTGAACCAAACTACTGAGTTTTTGCGATAAGTTAACTACCCTGGCTGGCTTTGAATCATGATCCTCACAACCCAGCCTTCTGAGTAGCTAGGATGACAGGTGTGAGTTCTGGTGCCAGTTAAGACCCTGGGTTCTTGACCTGGCCATTGCAGATAGAGCCACAGGAGAAAATTGGGTTTGTGAGGGAGATACTGGGTGCACCCCACAGCCTAGGATGTGGGGATCCTCACCTAGAGCACCGGCCACATAGAAGCAGTATTTGAAACAGGAAACTCTTTATTGCAAGGGTATAAAAGTAGTCACAGCGCAACATGTACAGCAATAAATTAGGTGGTGGGGGGGGAGGCGTGGATAGGGCAGGGGAGCACAGAATATGATCTCAATAATTTATATCATGGGAAGAAGCAGCACACAAAAAAATAAATATTGAAATGAAACTGCCGAGGCAGGAGATGGAGAAGTCGGGGCCACAAGGGATGAGCCTCTGCCACCTTGGAAGCAAAGCTTGACTTCTTTGGGGAGTGGAGGCAGCAGACAGAAAAGAAACCCATGCCACAGAGAGGTCCTTGTTTTTTGTTTTCTTAAATTAAAAAATAAATCCATATATTAAATCGTGACAACAAAATGTCAGTGATCTGAAGTTAAGCGGAGGGCACCCACTGGGTGGCCCGGGAGGGGCTGGGCAGCGACGGCAGCTCGCTCCGGTCCCCCCAGAGGCCGAGGGTTAGGAGCCCCATCTTTAGCAAAGCACCAGAGGCTGAGAGCAGTCACCTGCCTGCTGCAGTCCCGCAAGGTGGGGTGTGGAGACCCCAAGACTGGATAGATCCAACCACCCCGGCAGGGCCACCCACTGAGCAGGGTCCACAGAGCGTGGCCAGCTTGAAGTCGGGGGTCCTAATGCCCCATCCCACCCACTGTCTGGCCACCTCTGTGCTGCTAGTAGAGAACTACAGTATCAAACTGGAAAACTGTTCTGAAAAATCTATACGATAAAATGTGTATATAATTATATAGATAGATTCTCTCTTTCTAAATACTTCCCACGGTCCTATTGATATCCAATATGGATTACCTACCATGGCTATGGCACGATGGCATTTCCTAAGTGCCCTCGGGCCTCTGCACTGTGAGGACCCAGGCCCCTGCGTGGGCTGGGCTGCGGCTTGGCCTGGCCTCCTGCGTTCCCCAGGGCCTGGGAGGTGACAAGCCACACACGGCAGTGCCACTGAGCGCTCTGGCTTTGTCTCCAAATCTAATGGTGGACACAGGAGCTCGTGGTGGTCCTTGGGGCTGTGGGTCCCCTGCGCTCATCCTTATGTGTCGGATCCCTGCCCAGCGGCTTGGCAATCTGTGTGTGTGAGGGGAGAGGGGGGGTCCTACTGCTGGTATGAGGGACCGGGGCCCGAGGCCCTGCATGGCCTCTGCCTGTCACACGTTGTTTCTGGCTAGCAGCATAAGGTGGGATCCATGGGGGCCCCCCCACCACCCCGGCTCCAGTCCCAGTCCTAAAACAGCATGGATGGAAACTCCAGCTGATAACCAGAACCAGGCGCTCTGGGTGACTGCATCCCAGGAGGCAAGTCTTTGGGGCTCTCCTGCCTGTGCCCTCTGACCCTCCCCAATTGAGCGCTCCAGACTCTTCCATGGTCTGGGGCCCTGGACCCCCACCTGCCTGCCTTCCTCCCTACCCATCTCCCTCAGCAGTGGGAACCAAAGTCCTGAACTTGCATGTCCACATCTACCACTACCCCTGGCCACCTGCCGCTGCTCACCTTCTCCCTGTCTGAGCGTAGCTGGCAAGCAGCTGCCCGCTCTCCACTCCACAGCCGGTGAGACACCCTGCCCATTCCCGCCCGGCTGCAGGGTGGCTGGCTGGCGCTTACACCTCACCAAGTGGCCTCCCTGGGTCACAACATCCACAAAACTCTCTGCACACATACTGGACAGGCCCTCCAGAACCCTCATGGGCAAGCAGGTTGGTCCTCTGAGGCCCCAGTGCTGGTGCCGAGGGGCTCTGACTGCAGGCGTGCATTTACACAGGGACACAGCCCAGGCCGCCCAGGCTCAGCTTTCCCTCACCCCCTGGTACCAGGAGCTACAGCAGGCCATAGC